AAACTACACCACGCTGACCACTCAACCCTCACCACCCTCCCACTCACCCTCCCAGCACCATCTAAACTACACCACGCTGACCACTCAACCCTCACCACCCTCCCACTCACCCCCCATCACCATCTAAACTACACCACGCTGACCACTCAACCCTCACCACCCTCCCACTCAGCCTCCCAGCACCATCTAAACTACACCACGCTGACCACTCAACCCTCACCACCCTCCCACTCAGCCTCCCTCATCACATCTAAACTACACCACGCTGACCACTCAACCCTCACCACCCTCCCACTCACCTCCCACCCATCTAAACTACACCACGCTGACCCTCAACCCTCACCACCCTCCCCTCACCTCCCATCACCTCTAAACTACACCACGCTGACCACTCAACCCTCACCACCCCCCACTCAGCCTCCCAGCACCATCTAAACTACACCACGCTGACCACTCAACCCCACCACCCTCCCACTCACCTCCCATCACCATCTAAACTACACCACGCTGACCACTCAACCCTCACCACCCTCCCACTCCCCTCCCATCACCATCTAAACTACACCACGCTGACCACTCAACCCTCACCACCCTCCCACTCAGCCTCCCATCACCATCTAAACTACACCACGCTGACCACTCAACCCTCACCACCCTCCCACTCAGCCTCCCCAGCACCATCTAAACTACACCACGCTGACCACTCAACCCTCACCACCCTCCCACTCAGCCTCCCAGCACCATCTAAACTACACCACGCTGACCACCACCCTCACCACCCTCCCACTCAGCCCTCCCAGCACCATCTAAACTACACCACGCTGACCACTCAACCCTCACCACCCTCCCCTCAGCCTCCCAGCACCATCTAAACTACACCACGCTGACCACTCAACCCTCACCACCCTCCCACTCACCCCCATCACCATCTAAACTACACCACGCTGACCACTCAACCCTCACCACCCTCCCACTCAGCCTCCCATCACCATCTAAACTACACCACGCTGACCACTCAACCCTCACCACCCTCCCACTCACCTCCCATCACCATCTAAACTACACACCACGCTGACCACTCAACCCTCACCACCCTCCCCTCACCTCCCATCACCATCTAAACTACACCACGCTGACCACTCAACACTCACCCTCACCACCCTCCCACTCACCCTCCCATCACCATCTAAACTACACCACGCTGACCACTCAACCCTCACCACCCTCCCACTCACCCTCCCATCACCATCTAAACTACACCACGCTGACCACTCAACCCTCACCACCCTCCCACTCACCCTCCCATCACCATCTAAACTACACCACGCTGACCACTCAACCCTCACCACCCTCCCACTCACCCTCCCATCACCATCTAAACTACACCACGCTGACCACTCAACCCTCACCACCCTCCCACTCACCCTCCCATCACCATCTAAACTACACCACGCTGACCACTCAACCCTCACCACCCTCCCACTCACCCTCCCTCACCATCTAAACTACACCACGCTGACCACTCAACCCTCACCACCCTCCCACTCACCCTCCCATCACCATCTAAACTACACCACGCTGACCACTCAACCCTCACCACCCTCCCACTCACCCTCCCATCACCATCTAAACTACACCACGCTGACCACTCAACCCTCACCACCCTCCCACTCACCCTCCCATCACCATCTAAACTACACACGCTGACCAATCAACCCTCACCACCCTCCCACTCACCCTCCCATCACCATCTAAACTAACTACACACGCTGACCAATCACCCTCACCACCCTCCCACTCACCCTCCCATCACCATCTAAACTACACCACGCTGACCACTCAACCCTCACTCCCACCCTCCCACTCACCCTCCCACGCCCACCCTCCCACTCACCCTCCCATCCCATCACCAGCCACGCAATTTCCTCCTTGATGCCGTCCACCAAAAGCGCCTTCCCAGTGACCTGCTTCACGGGGTCACCGATCCGCTCCCCCCTCTGCCCCCCCCCCCCTCCCCTGTCAGTCCCTTGACGTCCCGCTTCACGAGGGATGTCCTCACCTCGCACTGTTCCATGTCCCCCCCCCGTATCCTCGTCCCCATGACCCATAACCCAATAGACCGATGTGCCGCTCTCTACCCCCTCTTCTCCTGCTTATCCGTTATCAATATTCTCACCTCGTGCCCATAACCCCCCCTCGTCTGCACCCCCCCCCCCCCATTGCCCTTATCCCCGTGTCTCCACATCCCCTCGGCCCCTCTAAACACATCGACTCGGGTGCCTCACGTCCCCAAACCCCTCGACATCCCATCGTGCTGCCCAATGTCTCCACACCCCCCACCCACCCCACGTCTTGTACCCACATCCCCGTGTCTTTAAACACCCCCACAACCCCCCTTGTCTCAGCATCCCCCCTCCCTCCCTCCCGTATCATCCCCTCGCCACCACCACCATCACCAGCACCACTCACAACCATCTTCACTCACCACCAGCCCACCACCAGCACTCCACTCACCACCAGCACCAGCACCACCACACCACCACCAGCGCACCACCAGACCACACACTACCACCACCACTACCACCATCTACCACCATCACTACCACCATCACTACCACCAGCAGCTCCACTCACCACCAGCACCACCAGAACCAGCATCACCACCAGCACCACCACCAGCAGCTTCACCACCACTAGCTCCACTCACCAGCAGCACCACCAAACCACCACCGCCACCAGCACCACCACCACCACCACCAGCTCCACCACCACTAGCTCCACTCACCAGCAGCACCACCGAACCACCACCACCATCACTACCACCACCACCACCAGCAGCTCCACCACCACTAGCACCACTCACCAGCAGCTGCGGCACTGGGCCCCGACGCCTGCCTCGCGTCTCTTCACGGGAGGGAACACCACCCCCTCCACGTGGCCTTCCTCACCAGCCCCACTCACCACCAGCCCCACTCACCACTCCCACCACTCACATCCAACCAGCCCACTCACCACCAGCCCCACTCACCACTCACCACCACTCACCACTCACCACCACTCACCACCAGCACCACTCACCACCACTCACCACCACCACTCACCACCACTCACCACTCACCACCACCACCACCACCACTCACCACCACTCACCACTCACCACCAGCCCCACTCACCACCCTCACCACTCACCACCACTCACCACCACACCACTCACCACTCCACCACCACTCACCACCACCACTCACCACCCGCACTCACCACTCACCACCACTCACCACCACTCACCACTCACCACCAGCCCCACTCACCACCAGCCCCACTCACCACTCACCACCACTCACCACCACTCACCACCAGCACCACTCACCACTCACCACCACTCACCACCACCACTCACCACCACTCACCACCAGCCCCACTCACCACCAGCCCCACTCACCACTCACCACCACTCACCACCAGCCCCACTCACCACTCACCACCACTCACAACCAGCCCCACTCACCACTCACCACCAGCCCCACTCACCACCAGCCCCACTCACCACCACTCACCACCACTCACCACCACCACTCACCACCAGCCCCACTCACCACCAGCCCCACTCACCACTCACCCCACTCACCACCAGCCCCACTCACCACTCACCCACTCACAACCAGCCACTCACCACTCACCACCACCCCACTCACCACCACCCCACTCACCACCAGCCCCCTCACCACCACTCACCACCACTTACCACCACCCCACTCACCACCACTCACCACCACTCACCACCACTTACCACCAGCCCCACTCACCACCACTCACCACCACTCACCACCACTCACCCCCACTCACCACCACTCACCACCACTCACCACCACTCACCACCACTCACCACCACTCCACCACCAGCCCCACTCACCACCACTCACCACCACTCACCACCACTCACCACCACTCACCACCACTCACCACCAGCCCCACTCACCACCACTCACCACCACTCACCACCACTCACCACCACTCACCACCACTCACCACCACTCACCACCACTCACCACCACTCACCACCCAGACTCACCACCACTCACCACCACTCACCACCACTTACCACTCACCACTCACCACCACTTACCACCACTCACCACCACTCACCACCAGCCCCACTCACCACCACTCACCACAACTCACCACCACTTACCACTCACCACCACTCACCACTCACCACCACTTACCACCACTCACCACCACTCACCACCACTTACCACTCACCACCACTCACCACTCACCACCACTCACCACCACTTACCACCACTCACCACCACTCACCACCACTCACCACTCACCACCACTCACCACCACCACCACCACTCACCACCACCCCCACTCACCACTCACCACCACTCACCACCAGCCCCACTCACCACCACTCACCACAACTCACCACCACTTACCACTCACCACCACCCCACTCACCACCACTTACCACCACTCACACCACTCACCACCAGCCCCACTCACCACCACTCACACACTCACCACCCTACCACTCACCCCACTCACCACTCACCACCACTACCACCACTCACCACCACCACTCACCACCACCACCACTTACCACTCACCACCACTCACCTCACCACCACTCACCACCACTCACCACCACTCACCACCACTCACCACCCTCACCACTCACCACCACTCACCACCACTCACCACCACCCCACTCACCACTCACCACCACTCACCACCAGCCCCACTCACCACCACTCACCACAACTCACCACCACTTACCACTCACCACCACTCACCACTCACCACCACTTACCACCACTCACCACCACTCACCACCAGCCCCACTCACCACCATTCACCACCACTCACCACCACTTACCACTCACCACCACTCACCACCACTTACCACCACTCACCACCACTCACCACTCACCACCACTCACCACCACTCACCACTCACCACCACTCACCACTCACCACCACTCACCACCACTCACCGTCTTCCGCTGCCGCTCCCGTGTCGACTTCGCCGGTCTCCTGCCCGTCCCTTTGCAGCGGAGCGGCGTCAGAGTGCTGAGGCCGACATGGCGGTGTGTTGTGTACGTGTGTGGGGGTGTGCGTGTGTGGGGGTGTGTGTGTGGGGGTATGTACGTGTGTGGGGTGTGTGGGTGTGTACGTGTGTGGGGGGTGTGTGCGTGCGTGTGTGTGGCAGTGTGTGTGCGTGTGTGGGGGTGTGTGCGTGTGGGGGTGTGTGTGTGTGTGTGGGGTGTGTGCGTGTGTGTGGCGGTGTGTGTGTGTGTGGCGTGTGTGTGGCGTGTGTGGGGATGTGTGTGTGTGGGGTGTGTGCGTGTGTGTGGCGGTGTGGTGTGTGTGGCGTTGTGTGTGTGTGGTGGCGGTGTGTGCGTGCGTGTGTGGGGTGTGTGCGTTTGGTGGGGGTGTGGCGGTGTGTGTGTGCGTGTGTGGGGGGGGGTGTACGTGTGAGTGGGGGTGTGTGCGTGTGTGGGGGTGTGTGTGTGTGGGGGGGGTGTGCGTGTGTGTGGGGTGTGTGTGGTGGGGGTGTGCGTGGGTGTGGCGGTATGTGTTGTGGCGGTGTGTGTGCGTGTTGGGGTGTGTGCGTGTGTGGGGGGTGTGTGTGTGGTTAGGGCGTGTGCGTGTGTGGGGGGTGTACGTGTGTGGGGGTGTGTGTGTACGTGTGTGTGGGGGGTGTACGTGTGTGGGGTGTGTGCGTGTGTGGCGGTGTGTGTGTGTGGCGGTGTGTGTGTGAGGTGTGCGTGTGTGGGGGGGTGTACGTGTTGGGGGGGTGTGTGTGTTAGGGCGTGTGTAATTAAGGGGTGTTGGTAAGGGTGTGTGTTGGTAAGGGTTATGTTGGTGTGTGTTGGTAAGTCGTGTGGTTAAGTGTGTTAGTAAGGGTGTGTTAGTAAGTGTGTGTGTAATTAAAGGTGTGTGTAATTAAGGATGTGTGTTGGTGTGTGTGTTAGTAGGGGTGTTGTAATTAAGATGTGTTGGTGTGTGTTAGTAGGGTGTGTGTCCAGGGTTTGTGTTATCAAGGTTGAGTGTGTTACTAATCAAGACGTGTGCTATGAAGGGTGAGTGTGAGGTTCGTAAGGATGTGTGTCTGTGTGTATTTGCTTGTGACAATGTTCTGTCTCTGCGTGTGTGATCGTGTGTGTAGTGTACGATTGTCTCTGCATGTGCAGTACGGTAATTGTTGTGTGTGTCAGTGTGTGGTGTCAGTGTGTGTGTGTGTCAGTGTGTGTCAGTGTGTGTGTCAGTGTATCGTGTGTCAGTGTCTGTAAACAACATTTTTGTGTCTATCAGTTTCCAATATCAGCGTGTGCGTATATCTGTGTGCATCCCTGTGTGATCTATGTGTGTATCCCTGTGTGTATATCTGTGTGTATCTCTGTGTGTGTATCTCTGTGTGTGATCTCTGTGGTGTATCTGTGTGTGTCTCAGTGTGTATCTGTGTGTGTCTCAGTGTGTATCTGTGTGTGTCTCAGTGTGTGTATCTGCGTGGTGTATATCTGTGTGTATCTCTCTGTGTGTATCTCTGTGTGTGTATCTCTGTGTGTGTATCTCTGTGTGTGTATATCTCTGTGTGTGTATCTCTCTCTGTGTATCTGTGTGTGTATCTCTGTGTGTATCTCTGTGGTGTATCTCTGTGTGTGTATCTGTGTGTGTCTCAGTGTGTATCTGTGTGTGTGTCTCAGTGTGTATCTGTGTGTGTCCTCAGTGTGTATCTGCGTGTATGTGTACAGTGTAATCGCGCGCGTGTTGTTGCTGCTGTGTGAGAGGAAGCTGCGCCGATAGCGAAGCCGTGACGAGAGCTCAACGTCATATCCAGCACCACCCACACAGCTCGCACACACATACAGCTCACACACAGCTCACACACAGCACCACCCACACAGCTCCACCCACACAGCTCACACACATACAGCTCACACACACATACAGCGTACACACACACCACTCGCTCACAGCACCCCACAGCACCACCCACACAGCTCACACACACACAGCACCCACACAGCACCACCCACACAGCTCACACACACACCCACACAGCACCACCCACACGCTCACCACACACAGCACCCACACAGCACCACCCACACAGCTCACACACAGCACCCACACAGCACCACCCACCAGCTCACACACACACAGCACCCACACAGCACCACCCACACAGCTCACACACACACAGCACCCACACAGCACCACCCACACAGCTCCACACAGCACCCACACAGCACACCCACACAGCTCACACACACAGCTCACACACACACTCACACACACCCGCTCACACCACACAGCTCACACACACACAGCTCACACACACAGCACACCCACACAGCTCACACACACAGCTCACACACACGCACACACACACAGCTCACACACACAGCACACACACATACTCATACACACAGCACACAAACACAGCTCACACACAGCTCACACACACACACAGCTCACACACACGGCTCACACACACACACCAGCTCACACACACACAGCTCACACACACAGCTCACACACTACAGCTCACACACTACAGCTCACACACACAGCTCTCACACACACAGCTCACACACACACACAGCTCACACACACACAGCCACACACACACAGCTCACACACACAGCTCACACACACACAGCTCTCACACACACAGCTCACACACACACAGCTCTCACACACACAGCTCACACACACACACAGCTCTCACACACACAGCTCTCACACACACACAGCTCACACACACAGCTCACACACACACAGCTCACACACACATACAGCTCACACACACATACAGCGTACACACACACAGCTCGCTCACAGCACCCACACAGCACCACCCACACAGCTCACACACACACAGCACCCACACAGCACCACCCACACAGCTCACACACACAGCACCCACACAGCACCACCCACACACACACACACACACACCCACACAGCACCACCCACACAGCTCACACACCACCCACACAGCACCACCCACACAGCTCACACACACACAGCACCACACAGCACCACCCACACAGCTCACACACACACAGCACCCACACAGCACCACCCACACAGCTCACACACAGCACCCACACAGCACACCCACACAGCTCACACACACAGCTCACACACACAGCTCACACACACACAGCTCACACACACACACCAGCTAACACACACAGCACACCCCAGCTCACACACACAGCTCACACACACAGCACACACACACAGCTCACACACACAGCACACACCATAGCTCACCACACAGCACACAAACACAGCTCACACACACAGCTCACACACACACACAGCTCACACACACGCTCACACACACACACAGCTCACACACACAGCTCACACACACAGCTCACACACTACAGCTCACACACTACAGCTCACACACACAGCTCTCACACACACAGCTCACACACACACCAGCTCACACACACACAGCCCACACACACACAGCCCACACACACCAGCTCACACACACACAGCTCACACACACACACTCTCACACACACAGCTCACACACACACACAGCTCTCACACACACAGCTCATAGCACACACACACACAGCTCTCACACACACAGCTCACCACACAGCTCACACACACACAGCTCACACACACACACAGCTCTCACACACACACAGCTCACACACACACAACACACACACACAGCTCACCACACACAGCTCACACACACACAGCTCTCACACACACAGCTCTCACACACACACAGATCTCACACACAGCTCACACACACAGCTCTCACACACAGCTCACACACACACAGCTCACACACACAGCTCACACACACAGCTCACACACACACAGCTCACACACACAGCTCACACACACAGCTCACACACACACAGCTCACACACACACAGCTCACACACAGCTCACACACACACAGCTCACACACACACAGCTCACACACACAGCTCACACACACAGCTCACACACACACAGCTCTCACACACACAGCTCACACACACAGCTCACACACACACACCATAGAACTCACACACACAGCTCATAGCACACACACACACAGCTCACACACACATAGCTCACACACACACAGCTCACACACACAGCACACACACACACCACACACAGCTCCCACACAGCACACACACACAGCTCACACACACAGCTCACACACTGCAGCACAAGACAGGCTGTACACACAGCTTACACACTACAGTGTAGCGCAGGCTGTACACACAGCGTACACAATGCAGCAGACTGTACATACAGATTGCATACCGCCGTATTTTCCCGCATATAACCCGCGGGGTAGACCACTTTTTACAAACAAAACGACTCTGGGGTATATGGAGGTGCGGCTATCCCAAACATATTTTCCACGTGTGACGTCATAACTCGTTTAATGTTTTCATGATAGGACTATCCACTATGCAACACTTACCTTTGACTAAAGCACTGCTGAATAAACCATTGCACATGTTATCACGTTTTAATTTATTCGAATTGTTGTACAATGAAACGACAATGTTTGAAGTGGGTGCACTTTGTTTACCGTAATACTTTCAAGGCTGTAGGGGGGTGCGAAAGCTTCAGCTCAGGCTACGGATTGCACAATGGGAAGGGCCTTAACAGCGTCTACCAGAGGCGGAATCATAATTGCCGAGTCCCTTAGGCCGCTGCTATTGGCTGAGCACTATGCAGTCGTGATCACGAGCTTTGTTTCAAACTTCTAATGGCTTTGTTGCCAGGAGGCAATGGCGTTACCGTAGTGCCGCGATTGGCTGCGCAGTGCACAATCTACCAGTGCTAAAACTGTACGGGGTAACTACCGGTCCAGTAGCTGTAACATGATGAGGTCGAATGCTGGTAAGCCTAACAGTACGCTTACTTACTTATCTACCAGTTATGTGTTACTTATTTATTGGATACAGTAAAACCTTGGATTGCGAGCATAATTCGTTCGGAAACGTGTTTGTAATCCAACACTCGTATATCAAAGCACTCGTATATCAGTTGTGATCACGTGACGCTCGGCAGACAAAGCGTATACACGTACTGCTCGTGTTGCAACACCTCGCTCGTTTATCAAATTAATATTTACTTTAA